CTGCCTATCCCCGACCTTGCAGGCGCCTCTCGCAGGGGTACGCTAGGCCGCCCGGCACGTCACTGGCGCGTGACGGGACTGCCTATCCCCGACCTCGCAGGCGCCTCTCGCAGGGGTGAGCACGGCCGCCACTGGCGCGTATGACTGGACATCCTGGAGCCTGAAGCGCCACTTACCTGCTCAGCAGGTCCATCTTGGAGGACAGCGTGTGCATCTGCTCGGACCAGGCAGCCACGTGCAGCTGCAGCGTGTCCCACACGTGCGCTCGGTCCAGCAGCCGCTCGACATTGGACTGCAGTCCGCTCAGGGAGGTCGCCGTCGACACGATGCGCGACTCGAGCTTGCCCACGTACAGCTCGTTGAAGGAGCGGAGCTGCTCTGTGGGGCGGAATAAGGGGGGGGGGGGTTAGAGTGGGGTAACTGCGTCTGGGAGAGATGGAGAGCGAAGGCAATTCGACCTACCACCGATGTCAGCCGTTGTGGATCGCAGCTCGGCGACATCCTCGGCGAAGCGCTCGGCTGGCGAAGCTAGTCGCTCCGGGGAAGGCGCCGCGGGACCCACGGCGCCAACCTGTCACAGCAGGCGGAGCTCAACGCGGGAGTCTCCGGAGACATAATTCACAGTTGGCACAGTTGCATCGACGGATTTCGGCAGACGGACATTTGCCGATCGCGATAGTGCGTGCTGGCCTTCGCTTGTGGGGTCAGCGCCTGCCCGCCGGGGGCACCCCCCCCCCCCTCTTTATGTCCCTCCGCACACACCCGCGCTCCCGCGCTGCTTTCCAACTTGCTCTCCTGATCTCAGAGTACTTCCCTCGCGATTTCAAACGTGTCTAATCGAAGTGGTGCCCGGAGCATTTCCGGCCGGCCTGGGCCACCCGGAGGCACGGTACTGCACTCACCACGCTCAGCGTCCACAGGGAAATGAAGGCGCGCGCCGCTCGCATGGTATCACTCCCAACGCGTGCCACCCAGCCAGCCTGCTGGGCCCTGGGCCCGACCCGGCCCGACCGCCACGGGGTAGGACCTGCCGCGAGGCTAGCCGAATCCGGGCCGGGCCTCGGGAAAGGGGGAGGGGGGCGGTATCTTGCGGCTGGGAGTTGACAAAGATTACCAGTCGTGTGGATGCTCGCAACAAGGCGTCCAACTTAACTTTGTCACCGCTGGGTCTTTGTTGCTGCGACAGTAGGCGCGGTCTGGTCTGGGTCACGTCAGTGAGTCAGTGCAACGGTCCAGGGTGACAGGATGTCACCATCTTATCTAGATACAGGAGCCAGGAATACAGAGTAAATAAGCATGTACAGTAAACTGTAGTGCATGTTAATTTTAATTGTTTATAAATATA